TGCCCATGGGGTCAAGGTCCACAAGAGAAGGTGTGAGGAGTTGTTCTGAAGGCATTTCAACATCAAAAGACACTCCATTTCGTTTTCCAGTAAATGATGAGAAGGAACACACTTACAATCTGCTCTCTCACATGCTGCATTCAGATCGTCACCTTCTTGCACTCCACCCTCTAGATGCAAAAAATTCTTTGAGTCACCATTTTCTCACTTCACCCAAGGATAATGTGTTTAACTAGTACCAGATGGATGCACAGGAGAGAAGTTATTCATTATAGACAATGGATGTCTTAGGAACCAAGGGCTTAATTCTGTGGGGAAACCTACTTGGGAAGGATTACCATTCATCTATACACATCTATCTCTACAAGCGACTGTGAACTCCAAAAACAACAATACAGCGTCTGGTACAAAAATAGGGTTTTGGTAAACATAATCGGCTGAATATGCTCAATGGAGACACACAAACCTGGAGACTTCTCTACAACTCTTGCCAGCCTGAGTCCCACATCACTCCAAATTCTTAGTAATGGACTATTTGATGATGAATATTAGATTAGTGCTTCTCTTTTTCCTCTTGGGGAAGAGTGACATCACAGAACCCCCCAAGAGGCAAAACTGTGTAACTTCTCAGGAAAACAGAAGTACACGTACACAAGCGCATGCTGCATATTTAATTGTGTGTATAACTGCAGGGGTTCACAGGTCCTCCCTAGAAGCCTGTGACCCTTAGGTTAAGAACCCCTATACTAGATTGCTAGAAATGAGAATTAATGTCCAAACCTAACCAGCCATGTTCTATTTATTTGGCAAAAATAGGAGCAAAGGGACCAGACGGACCTAGGTTTCGATCCAAGTTTTATCGTTTGCTAGCTGTGTGAGGTTAAAGAAGTCAAATCGCCTTTCTTGGCCTCAGTTTCCTCATCTGTAAAATGGGTTAAGAGTCATTCCTAATTCCATGTTAAAGTTAGGATGAGATGAACAAACACATGATGTGCTTGCCACAGTGGCCTGTATGCAAGAGATGGAAGCCTGATATCACCACCTTCCCTCTAGTCTATGGAATCTACCCTTACCTCTCACTACCATCTGCATCTCCATTCAGAGCTGCATTAACAACTCCCATGGGATCTTAGACAACAAGGCAGAAAATGAGAGCCCCTAAGAATCCGTAAGGTCCCGAAACATAGCCCTAACGATTTCCCTCAAATCAAATGCTTGGCCTTAACCTCTGAAGGCCCTTCTGACAAGACAGTCAGCAATCTCTTTCTGTGTAAATCCAGGTCAGCTGCCAGCACACAATTGTTCTATTAGGCCAAGTCAATTTTTAGAGGCAGGCCTGTTAACTTCAAATGGAGATGAAAAGCAAAGTGTTTGATCAAATACCAAACTGCAGAACCACACTGACAGGGAAACAAGGCAGAGGAATTAGTTTCCTAAAATTATTCTCTGTGATACCGTTAGTTAATATTGGATATTTAAGGATGTCACTCAGCCCTTCTGACCTACCACCCACCTTCCCCCAACTCCTCATAGTTAAAGGCACTGGCTTAGGTCTTAAATGTTCTCAGCTCTCCTCTGCTTTCAAGACCATTCAACAACTTAACCCAGGATCCAGTAAGGCCAATTTTAAAGTTACACAAAACCTATCATTCAGACTCCTTCTACAAATGAATTTCTCAAGCATTTCTAAATATTTGACTTCAAGGGAAAAAATGCATTTCCACTTTAAAACAATCTTTCATCTCTAGCGATGCAAATTTTCTTTGCTTGTTTAACCAATCCACATACCACTAGCCAGTGTTTAATCAGGCCTTTATTTAACATCACTAACCATGTGAGTTGCACAGCCAAGTCTGAAAGTTTCAGATAATGATCTCATAATAGCAACAAATTGGTTCAAAGATGAAATATGTATCAATATGTCTAAGAACCCTTTAAAGTTCCAGACTTCAGAATGACAGGGCTGTAATTAATTCCTCCAGCATTCATACTGTATGCCTGACATTCTTACAAGCAAATGGATTTCAATGCTGCATGAATAATTAATTAATAGCACTTCATATCCACATACTGTTTTCACAACTTTCAGGGATGAAGATGTCACAAAAAAACAAAACAAAACAAAACAAAAAGAAAACAAAAAAAACCTCTCTTCTTAACAGAGCACACTTGTGACCTTAGGAAAGGTATTTAAGCCTAAAATGCACAAGGAGAGAACCGAGAATCCTGTGACTAATCCCAAGGTTTGAATTACTATCTCGCTCTGACACTGACACACTGACACACACACACACATTCTTAACCCGGTCTCCCCCTCCCTACCCCATGCAAATGACCAAACAGGTACTCTAATTAGAAGTATCTGGGGCAAACCAGACTGTGATAAGGTATCTCCTGTCACTATATATGATGGGGGGGGGGGAGGCAGTAACACAAACCAATTTCCTATCTTAGAATTCTTAAAGTAAAGAGACTCCCAAACAGGTCTTTTTCTCCCCTTAACCATGAACAACAGTGCTACCGAATCCCACTGGAAAAAAAACAAAAAGCCATGCTGCAGTGCTGCTAGTTAGGTTTTAGTTATAGGAAAATGAACTCTGCTCTGAAGACCATAAAATATTAAATAGCAAATCACACAGGGTTATTTCAAGACAGTAAATAAAAGGAGGTTTGAAAAGTTCAACAAGGCGCTTAGAAAACATGATTAATCTGCAGCTGAACACCAGTGTGTTTCTCCGACCTTGTCATTTTTCATACAGAATGTTACATTCCCTCTCAGCAGTCCTGAAACACCAGCTTTCCTTACAAAAACATTTTTCAGGGCTGACAGGGGGCCACATCAGTTACTTCAATCGGGCAGTATTCGAAGAACTAATAAAAACATGCCAGCCTCTGTCTGCACACAGCCCTGAAAGCCATGCTGAAGTTCCCTCCATCTGTGCACCCGAGGGGTTCAGCTCAGAGGCCCCCACAATAAAGCGATTAAAGATATGGAGTGAGAACACCAAGAAATGACTATTCAGACAGCTCAGATAAACTCACTAACACTGTGCAGTTATAAAGGAATTAAGGACACCTATTAGTGATTGCTTAACAGGCCAACTTATTAAATACCATTTAAGTCATTTTTCTTTACTTAGCAATTGTTGACTTAATTTTTTTTTTTTTTGGCTAGGCTAATGGACTACAAAAGAGTTAGATAAGCACTTCAAAAAGATTCAAAAGGGAATAGATTCCTTCTGCCAAATTCACACATTCTCTCTCTACTCACAAGGATAAAATAGCTACAAATGGTGTGCTTCAACTGCTAATTTTGTATTAAATGGTGAACCCAAGATTATCTCCAAAGCGCAGCACTACCCATAATGGACAGCCCGCCAGACAAACTACCGCGGAGAAAGAGTAGAAGTTAAAACACTGCAGATAAAAATCACAAACTTCAAAAGTCTCCTTCAAATAGTGAAGTGCCATATTAAAACATCTTTTCCCTTAGCAGGCTGTAAATCAAATATTTCTAAAGCCATCAAGACACAGTTGAAAGCCTCAAAGAGAAACAAGGAGTTACAAGGAGCAAGCTTTAAGATTCAAACTATTTCTTGAAGGCTGCAACTGCAATGTGTAGGAATCTTCAAGACCATCTTCTCTAAAGCTTATAAACTAAAGGCCATAATTATAACATTAGCAAGGAAAAAAGTCCAAAAGCCTTTAACATCTGTAGTCACAGGACTCAAACATGTGTTTCCCCTTTTATTTACCCTGCAGAAGTTTAAGATGGGGATAAGAGCTCTGTGAGGCAATGCTGCTGATTAATCGCCTGGCAGGGGTCCCTCCCCCAGCTTTGTAAGGACATACCTCTAAGGAGCCAAGCTGCACAGCTCCCTGCCTACCCACCTAGGGCTCTGAGTATGCACCCGGGGAGGAGAAAGCAAGAGACTGCTAAGCAGTCATCCATACACTTCCCTTCTCTTCATTCATAACTCACCCCAGTAAAGCACAGAAGGCCCAAAGCTTAGAACTCTGCAGACGTCCCATCACCTCCAAAAAGGCTCCAAAACAAGCCAACCATTTCAAATCGCCCGCATCCGAGGCATGCATATTAACCGCCCTAAGTGGGTTGGCAGTCTAACAAGTTGATAAAATCATAGCCAAGGAAGCGGGAAGGCATCTACCCAGCTCAGCGACCGCAGAGGCTACAGCTCCGTCCCACCTCCAAAGTGTAGGCACAGCTTAAAGCTCTCCCTAGCCAGCTTCCTTTGAAACGAAGACCTCTCTCATTGGGAGCAAGGTGGGGAGGCCCTGTCAGTGAGCGACCCTGTCCAGGCCCTCCGCAGAAGTCCTTGGCCCAGGAGCGGGCAGGCAGTCTCCCTCCCACCCTCTGTAATCTGAGGCACGCAGCGAAGGCTGCCTTCTACGGCCACTCCAGGGCACTCGCGATCCCCACTCTTCGGCCAGCTCCCCCTGCTCTCCTTGCCTGCTGCTGCTTGTCCACAGCCCTGCAGGGAGGTCAGCGCCCAGGTGAGTGAGGCTGGCGGCAGGGTACAGAGAAGAACCCAGTGGTGTCCAGCCCCTCAGACAAACCTTGGCTACTCCCAAAAAGAACGTGCAGGGATGGAAAGCAACGCCTGCGACCTGAAACAAGCCACCCCATCCTTCATCGCTCATCTTTCCAAAGTTGGCATTCAACAGGTAGTTCCAGGACTTCCACCTGAGGCAAACCGAGTGCCCAACCGGCCCAAGGGGGCCGCCCCAACGTGGGTACCAGACCCGGGGTCTCCCTCCCGTCCTCCCCCCGACCCGCAGGAGGCCGAACCCCCACGTGCGCTCGGCCCCCGCTGCGGCGCCCCAGAGGCCGCGTCCCGCCCGCCGGCGGGGGAGAGATGCCGCCGGCCTCCTCGCCGCCCCTCCCGCCCGCCCGCCAGCCCGCGGCGGGGTCGGCGGGCGCAGCCCCCGGAGCCATCTTGTGGCGGCGGCGGCGCGGGGCCCGGGCGGCGGGCAGCTACCTGCACGATCTCGCCCTCCGCGCTGAGCGTGGCCCCGGCCCGCGAGAAGCGGCCCGTGAGGCCGGTGGTGTAGGTGGTGTAGTCGCCGCTCGGGCTCGACTCGAACAGCACCACCTCCACAAACGCCGTCTCCTTGGCCCGCGCCGCGCCGGGCCCCGCGGCCGCCAGCAGCAGCCCGAGCAGCAGCGGCAGCGGCGGCGGCGGCGGCAGGCGGCGGCCGCGGGGGCCGCGGGGGCGGCGGCGGAGGCGGCGGCGGCGGCGGCCCGGGGCCCCTGGGCGCCCGCCCGAGCGCGGCCTCATGGTCCTGCGGCGGGAGGGCGCGGAGGGCGGGCGCGGCCAGGCATAGTCGCGGGCCGGCGGAGGACCGAGCGCGGGCGGACGCCTCACAGCCCCATCGCGGCGGCGGCGGCGGCTTTGTGGGTCGCAGGCTCGGCTCGGCTCCCCCGGCCGTCGCGCCGCGGCCCTTTCATCTGCTCCACGTGAGGGGTTATCCCCGCCCCGGCAACGTCGTGACCCGCTCTCCCCTCCCTCCCCGCACTCGACCGCCGCGGCTGCCGGGGGGGAGCGGGAAGGCGGGGCGGGCGCGGCGGGGGGCGGCCCGACCGCCGGGCACGCCCCCGCACTCGCACCGCCCCTCGGCCCAGCCCCGCCCCTCCCTCACCGCCTGCGCTCCACCCCATTGTTCTCGCTCCACCCACCTCCCCACTGTCTTGCTCCGCCCCATCGTTCTCGCTCCGCCCCTCCCCGTCGTCTCTACCCCGCCCCCTCGTCCTCGCTCCGCCCTCACGCTCTAGCTCCACCCCTTCGCCCGCGCTCCGCCCTCGGCGGCAGACATTTCTCCTCACGGTTGCCAGAGTTCGGCGGGAACTCGGAGAGCACCCTGCGCCCGGGCGACTTCATTCTCTCTGGAGGGCCCACGCCTCCTGGTGCGGTGTGGTAGCTAGGGCCTTGTCCTTCTCGGCTCTGCGACCCCAATCCACAGTTCCCGGGAGCCCGCACCCAGGTTTTCCACCCTCATCCCCACCTCAAATTGGGATCAAATGGGAAAGGCCCCCGCGGGTCAGGGCTGTTTGCAGCTCAGCCTTGCAGGGACGTGTCTGGTTCTTGCGCCGATGTCACTAAGACAGTTACTCTCAACTGGTTGAGAGTGGGAGTGGAGAAGGGAGCCATTTAGCCGTTGGATTCTGATAGAGTTCATCTTTCTGCAGCCCCAGAGACTGTAACTCAAAGAGGGGTCCTGAAACTTTGAGTCTCTCCGTGTGCAGAAAGCCAGAGGATTCCAACACCATCACTTTATGTGCACAGAATGATGGCTGCCAAATTAAAGTTCCAAAGACGTGCTCCAGGTCCCAGGGGTCCCGGATCGCCCAGAAGATAAACTGTCAACAACCAACCCCTCTATGGAACACGCCTTTTCCTTCCTCATATAGGCCTATGAGAATAGAACCCCTCAAAACTGGGGTTCAAGTCCCACTTCCTCCATGGAGTTTTCCTTCTCTCAGCAAAATGGCTTTGTTCAGATATTCGCAAATATTTGGTTAGGATGATCTGCTTCTACTTGCTACCACACCCAAAATATTAAAAAGACAAAAAGAAAAGAAAACTCATTGAGCATTGTCTTGAATAAACAACTTACCAAGGTTACATTTTAAAGTAGAAAAATATTTTCAAAATGTGGAATAGAAAATACACTAAAAAAAACCATGGATCTGCACTGCTGCATTTGGACCACCCAGAGTTTCCGCTTAGGAGACGCACCTGGGGAAGCAGGGCTTTGCAAATACAGAAACTTTGTAGTTTCTTCAGAACCAAGCCTAACCCATGCTGGCTGGATCTGGGCAACATCAGTCCTGAAATCTCCCCAGAGGTGGCACAGTCCAGTCATTAAAAGGGAAGTCAATTACTACAGCCCACCCATGACACTTTGCAATATTTAAAAGTCAAGGTTACCATCCACTGATGAATGAGTCAACAAAAGCAGTATATCCATACGATGGAATGAAGTACTGATACAAGCTAAAACATGAATGAACATTATGGTAAGTGAAAGAAGCCAGTCACAAAGGACCATATAGTGTATGATTCCATTTATCTGAAATGTCCAGAACAGGCAAATCTACAGAGACAGAAAGTAAATTAGTGGTTGCCAGAGGCTGGAGGGAGGCAGGAATGGGTAGTGACTGCTAACGGGTTTCTTTTGGGGGTGATGAAAATGTTCTGGAATTAGATAATGCTGATGGTTGCACAACTCTGTAAATAATACTAAAGCCCACTGAATTATACACTGTAAAAGGATGAATTTAATGGTATGTCAATTATATTTCAATTCAGTTGTCTAAAAAAATTCAAAGTCATTAGTGGTATTTTCATGCAAACACACACACGCACACACACATACACACAGGATACTGTGTAAGGATATTCTGTAGTCTTTGAAAGCTCACACCCTCAGTACCCAGGCTGCTCTATTTAAAATGGCAGTGTGCCCCCCGGTCCCCAAATCCCAACCTCCCTTAGTTGGCCACCTCCCTGGCATTTATCACCTTCTAACATATGAAATAATTTGCTTATTTATTTTTGTCTCTCTTCCACGCCCCACATACACACATGCCAGAGAACAAACCCTATAATGGCAAGGATCTTGTCTTGGTCACTGACTTAGGCGAAGGCTGCCTGGCCCAGAGTAGGCACTCGATACATATTTGTTGCATGAATTAATGACTAAATGAATGAGTGATAAGCTCATCATTTTGTATCCCTCCCATTTTCTGGGACATTTGGGGCAGCTTGTTAACTAACAGCTGCTTGGGAGCACTGGACTTCATGGGACCGAAATAAATTCTGCATGTGGAGAAGGGCAGTAGCCCTTCCTCTTAAGGACTGCAATGAAGGAAACCCAGACCAGGGTCAAAAAAGAAACTGGCTTCAATACTTAAAACTCTGCTTAAAAGAAAAACATGGTTAATTAAACATAGGCCAGCAAACACAAAGGTAACACAATTCATCTCTCAGCAATGTAAAGCTGTTTAGCAATGGAGATACTACCCAAGTAATGAAATTTCACCAAAATCTGATGGGCAGTGAGGGGAGATAGGAAATAACTTCAAATAAGAGATAAGACCCAGTGGCTAGGAACAAGGACTGGATCAAGTGATAGGAGTAAAGAGAAGTAATACCCAGGCATTATTTTTCGTGGCACAAGATGGTCGTGGAAGTTAGACCATCCTGAGAGTAACTTACCTTGTGCTTTTCTCTGCTTATCAGACGCAGCTCAGATGAAAATAACCAAGAACAGGTGCATCAGCATCAGTTAAAGCTGCCAGGTCTTTGGCAAATCTCACTGACTTAGGCCAAAACCGACACAAAGCTTTGGGAAACTTTCTGCCATCACAGTTCTATTTACATGACCAAATAGGGCAGTATAGGGATTTCAAATCCATAAATGTATGCCTTAGTATCTAAAGAGACTATATCTAAAAAATAAATAAATAAATAAATAAATAAAGAGACTATATCTGTGCTAAATAAAAACAGACATGGATATTCACTGCAGTATTGTTTTTAATAATAAAAGGCAAGAAATAACCTAAATGTCCATCAAGAGGAAATTAAATAAATTATGATACACTCACTTAATATGTAATAGAACCCATAATGAATAGCCATTTAAAAAATAAAAAAAAAACAGGCTCAGTCAGTTAAGTGTCCCACTTTGGCTCACGTCATAATCTTAGCCGTGGGTTCAAGCCCCACATCCGGCTCTGTGCTGACAGCTCAGAGCCTGGATCCTGCTTCGGATTCTGTGTCTCCCTCTCTCTGCCCCTCCCCCACTCGCGCTCTGTCTCTCTCTTTCTCTGAAAAATAAATTTAAAAACATAAAAAAATAAAGAGTTTTACTGAATGATCTTCAATATATATACTGCTAAGTGAAAAAGATGTGTATATGCTATGTTACAATAGACTGGAATGGGTAAGTAGACAACATATACATGAAGGTTTGCAAACATTAACTATGTGTGGAAGGAGACATAAGAAATGAATAAACAGTTGCCTCTGGAGAGGCATCTGGGTGACTAGGAAGCAGAGAAAGGAGGAAGACCTATTTTTCCCTGTATACCCTTTGTACCTATTGAATTAGCTCCATGCACATATGTTACCTATTCAAAGGTAATAAAATTAAAAGACTAACCTACTAAATCAATAGATGATAACATTCATGTTCTATATGCAAACATATTCTTTCAATAAACTTTACTGAATACCTACTATGTGCCATTGGAATATGAAAAGGGATTGGCCTCTAGTTATGGAAGATGCTAGCATTAGGGAAAACTAACACAGGACCTCTCAGTACTACTTTTGCAACCTCTTCTAATTATTTACAGTTAAAAACTAAATTTAAAAATACTGAATGAGCCAGCTCCTGTAACCAAGTAGTTTCCTTCCTTTCTTCCTTCCTTTTGCAAACATTTATTACAATATGGGACAGAGAAATCATACAGGGTGACGATAAAATGCACTTTCTTTCACAAAGTAATTGTGCGAGTTTGAAACTCCTCTTGCTTCTTTAAAGGTGATTCAAATTTAAGACTTGCTAGCATTCTTCCACAGCATTTATATCTATTTCTGGAAACTTTCATTGATTGTATTTAAACATCATATAATTCTCTTGAAAGGTACAATAGATGTTCTACAGACAAGTAGCGGCAATGCTTTCAAAACTCTTAGAAGTGTCTCTTCCGCCTTTGAAGTATACCATCAATCTATGTCTACTTTGAGCCTTGAGGCAGAAGGCCAATCTGGGCCCCGATTCATCAGTGGTTTAAACCCTGCTTCAACCTGTCCCTGATTTGCAATGGCCACCCAACCAGGAGTCACAAATTCAAACAATGCTCCAGGGGCCATGCAGGGAATGTGACTGAGTGAGGTGGCCAGGTGTAAGCTAAAATAACCAGCAATGAGATGGTAAATGGCAAAGGGGCCTCGGGCAGGAACACCTTGGGAGCGTGGCCTCAGCCTGGCCCTTCCAGAGGGCTATTACCCCACATTGTTGCTCTGGGGAATGTGGGCCCAGGATTCACAGATCTTGTCATTTGTTGAAAAGAAGCAAAAAAGCAGGTATATTTTTAGTGCCTTCTGGTTTTTAAGAAGTTTGTAACAGATTTTAAAAATTTGTATTACTGTGTGGGACCAAATAAACACATCTATAGGCCATTTTTTGGTCCAAAAGACACAGAAGAGGACTCTGACAAAGTAGATGCTGATTGGACCAGGTCGTAAAACTATCACTGCTAGATTGGTAAGGTGGAGGGAGAGGAAAAAATTCCACAATCTGAGTGTATAAATACTGCACTATAAAAAGGAGACAGTTGTGTGCGAGAACAGTACCCCAGACCACAAGAGGCACCTGCCTTCAGGATGCAGTATTTAACTGAAGTGGAAATGTAATCACATGCCTACTTGACCACGA